CAATGTGGCAAGAATAAGTATATTCATTAACAGATAGGTTAATGAATATACTTATTCTTGCCACATTGAGGAATTGTATTATTATATATATATAAAACCTTACATATATTATGTATACATATATATATATAAAACCTTACATATATTATGTATGCATATATATGTATATATACATATCTAGCAATTAATGTTCCAATAGTTTATCTTACTTAGAAATGATCTAAATTATGTGAAATTACCTAAATTAAGTGAACTGGAATTCTTAAAACATTTGAGTAAGTTTTTTTTTTCATATTGAAAGTAGTACTATTCCAATATATGGAAACTTTAGGAATATTATGTGTGTTTGTATGTGTGTGTTTATTTATCTCTAAACCAATCAGAATAAACTCTTTAAATAAATTTATAATCCTACTTAGTAATATCATCCACAGATGGGAAAATATTACACATATATAACATATACACAGGTATATACATAAAGATACAGGTAGACACAGAGAACATACAACTTCAATTCTAAAATTCTAGCTATGGGTTAAACATAAAACAAAACTCACTAGATCATATAATGAGCTGGCTCTCATATCCTGTTTTTGTCCCATCTTTTATTTTCTTTTTAACCTGGTTTCTAGCAGATGGGGTAAGCTTACCGTGAGGGCTGAAGTATTCCCACCAATATTTGTGGAGAAGACCTGTACGATGGCCTTTGCCCTGATGTGTATGTGATCTACATTTCCAGGGAGGGACTGTAAAAGACCAAGCAACTGTTGAGTAATCTCCAAAGCCCTTGTGAGTGGATAAAACAGTAGGCCTAGGGCTGGGGCTGGGGTTTAGTGGTAGAGCACTTGCCTAGCATGTGTGAGGCACTGGGTTTGATCCTAGCACTACACAAAAATGAACAAATAAAATAAAGGCATTATGTCCATGTATAACTCAAAAAAATATATTTAAAAAAACCAAAGACTAAAAAACAGTAGGCCTATTTGCAATTAACTTTTTTGGGGGTGGAGGGGCAGGTACCAGGGATTGAACTCAGGGGTACTCCGCCACTGAGCCACATCCCCAGCCCTATTTTATATTTTATTTAGAGACAGGGTCTCACTGAGTTGCTTAGCACCTCACATTTGCTGAGGCTGGCTTTGAACTTGTGATCCTCCTGCCTCAGGCTTCCCAGCCACTGGAGTTACAGGTGTGTGCTCCAAAGCCTGGCCAATTGACTTTCTTTGCTTCCGATTGCTCTTGGGGCCTCTGAACTCCTCAAGAGCCCTTGAGTTTTTAAAATTTTGTGGGAGATATGTTTTTCTACTTCTTTGAATCAAAAAATATTAGCATATCACTGCTTGAATGAGATCTTGAGTCACAGGACTCAAAATCTCCTTACAGAGTGAGGCAACTTGGAAAAACCCCATGTTCCTCCAGAGAGATCACTGAAATTCTAAGTTGTTTTTTAGTAAAATATTTCCATCTTGGAGAATTAGATGGAATTAGAACAGCAATAGTGGAGCAAGTACCCTTTGAGGGCGAGATCTGAGGGACAGAAGTCAGACTGAGTTCCCATGAAACAAAATGAACACCTGTGGGCTAAGGGCCCTGGGGGACCAAGGTTTCCCAGGAAAGACTCGGAATCTTTAATTTCACTTAGAAAGTCAGAAAGAAAAGACAGAGAATCAGAAGGAGAGGACAAAGTAAGGGGGAAATAAAGTCAAGTCCTTATCGTGCTGTGACAGACCACAGTGGTGGGAGCGGTGGGATAGGCATTGTGACTTGCAATCTTGGGTTCTGATCTCCCCAGCAAGGAAGGACACAAAGGGTTAAAGAAGCTGGTGTTAATATCTGAATGAAGACAGTGGAGTTGGAGTGGCAGTTGACATTTCGGCTGAATCATGGCACCATTACCATCAAGGAAAAGAATCGCACACTTGAGTTTACCAAGGAGGGCCACTGCCAGAGATGCTCAAAGCCTAAGCCAGAGACCTCTCAGGGGAGGGTGGGCAGCAAAAGAATGTGGGCTTCATGACTACGGGATAAGGAGGAGGGGGACTGCTAAAAACTGCTGGGAGTAGTTCATAAGTCATAGACTTATGAACTGCATCAAGCATAGCAGGCCAAGGCAGGCCATGTGGTTTGTGGTCAGGCCCACATAGGGTGCAGGACCCAGAATGAAGCAGACAAGTTGCAGTATGGAAAGTTCATGCTCAGTTGAGGTCAACTCCAGTCTGACCAACTTTGTCAAATGCTGGTTGTCTGCCTCTCCCTATCAAAGCTTAGCTTAGTAAACTGACCACCTGCTTTCAGATTGGCCCCCCCATATCACCCAGTGATCATTTCATCCATCAGATTCTCCTCCATGAGAAAGAGATCACCATTATTTTAACTTAAGAAGGAGAAAGCAGGACATGGTGGTGCATGCCTGTAATCCCAGTGGCTCAGGAGGCTGAAGCAGGAGGATCGCGAGTTCAAAGCCAGCCTCAGCAACTCAGCTAGGAACTAAGCAACTCAGTGAGACCCTGTCTCTAAATAAAAAATACAAAATAGGACTGGGGATATGGCTCAGTGGTTGAGTGGTCCTGAGTTCAATCCCTGGTACCAAAAAGGAAAAAAAAAGGAGAAAGACTGGGCCCTCCTGAGAGTAGGGGCAGGTCAGCTTTAGGGGAAGCCTTTATGCTTTGTGCTTACGTCTTCTAATGTTTGGCTGAAAGTGGCATAAAACACAGCACAGCAACGGGCAGACATTTGTTTTTCTCTCACACAAATGGGTCAGGAGGCAGGTATTGGGGGGCAGGGTGGCTGTTCAGAGAGACACCAGGGGCCCGGCCTTCAATCTTCATGATTACTCCATCCTACGGAGTGTGGGTTCTTATTCCAGGGGCAAATTGGGGTTTCTGTGTTCCAGGATACCTGATGGGGAATGGAAAATAAAGAAGAAAGAATGAGCACTCACCATCTCTTAACCCATTATGTCCCATCTTCCTATATAGAATTAAATCTTTGGGAACGATCCTGAGACTGCTAGAGGACTGCCCTGTATAGCTCATTAGCCCAAACTTCTTCACATGGCTACACCTAACTTCAGGGAAGCTGGGAAATACAGTGTTTGTTCTGGGGAAGAAGAATGGGGAGAGGGGACCATACACCCAGCTGAAAATGCTGTTAAAGAAAAGTGTTGAGGGATACCAGGGCTGAGACCAGGAAGAGACCATTGAGGCATTTGCCTCAGACACAAAATTTAAGGGGTCACCAAAATACTCAGTAACACAGATAAATATTTGAATTACAGTATTTTTTTCATCATTAGTAACCCATGGGGATTGTTGAATTAGGAGGAGGTTATGTACCTTTAGGGGCAGGGAGTATATAGGAAATCTCTGTCCCCTTTGCCCAATTTTGCTGTAAATCTTATACTCCTCTAAAAAAATTAAGTCTATTTTTTTAAAAAAAGAAACAAGCTGGGTACAGTGGCATATACCTGTAATTCCAGTGAATTGGGAGGCCAAGGCAGGAGGATTGCAAGTTTGAGGCCAACCTCCGCAATTTAGCAACGCCCTAAGCAACTTAGTGAGACCTTGTCTCAAAATAAAAAATAAAAAGGGCTGGAGATTTAGTTCTGTGATAAAGTGTCCTTGGGTTAAATCTTTAATGCCAAAAAAACAAAACAAAACCCAAAGAATAGTTGCATAAAACATTACATATAGGTCCTTCTCCTCTCTCAGAGGACCTACTCTCTTCCTTAAGGATGTACTCTTTCCCTTTTCCCACCTCTTCAATAAATTTATGCCTCTTACTCTGAGTGAAGTGTCTAAAATCTTTCTGGCATGATTACAAGAATTGGGGTTTGAAGAGGGGGTATCCCACTGCTGCAGCTTTGTGACAGACCACTGCCCTGTGACATTTGGTGTTTACCACACAGTTATCATCAATGGCCCCAATTACTTTCTGTTATTTTTTTCCATTCAACTTTTTCTGAACCTCTCTGCTCCACCTCAGATTCTTGGTGACTAGAGGAAAAAATCTTGTGTTCCTTTGGCTAGAACTCACTCTAGTAAGGACCAAAAGATCTCTTGATTGGAACTCAGATGCTGAATTCTTACCTCCTTAGAGGTAAGAGTGGAAGCCTTCATCCTTGATTCTTTTCGGGGCAAAGTTCTCCTATGAGTAATTGAAGGGTTCTTGATAAGGGCACTACACGTGTAGAATCTGAAGGACAATGATCATGAGATTTTGAACCGCAACACACGTTAGGGTAAAGAGACCTTTTTCCTTTCTCTTACCCTCTCGTTTTTATGTGTGGATCAACAGATCATCACTGTGGAACCTCACTCAAGACTCAAATCAGTGGGAACTCTAATTTACATGTAAGCACAGGCGCATAATCCCTGCCCTATGTAGGTCTCATCTGGTCACCTGTCAACTGTCATCATGGACTTCTGGACTGCCCTGTTGCTAAATATCCTTAACTTTCCCTGCCCCATCTGATGGAGAACAAGGACTTCAGTCACTCCCCACCCCAACTTCACCCTATCTCAGCAGGCAGCACCCAGGTCTAATTCATGCCCAACTGCCCTAAAAGAATTTAGAGACCTAAGTCTTTAAGGGGGTTGGGAGGACAGTTAGTTAGCTAGTCAGGCATGAACCAGTTAGCAGGGAAAAGACAATGAAGGATGACTGAAAACCACAGGGATTCTTATCTGATAGGTAAGCACTTGGAAAATGGGGACCTAGTATGTCAAAACCTCCCCAGCCACAGTTATATCCCCTTTAAAAGAAAAACAAACTATTATTTCAAGATCATGTCATACCCTACCAAGTGGCCTAGACTTCCCTTATCACAAAACTATCACAACCCCCAATCACCCTGGCAACTAAAACATCAAGACCCTCACTAGGAAGCTTCAAAGGGTAATAAACTGATTAAGGGGGCAATAAAATGAAGCAAAAACAGGGGGGCTCAATTTTCTTAAAATCTCCAATTCTGTGAACACTGCACCATCCTCTCTTGGAGGCAGTCCATGCAATTCCTATGCTGTCACTCAAAGGTCAAAAAGTGGACCTGGATAGGACTCTCTGGAAACTTCCCTGGGACTCCCAATAAAACTGGAGAGCAGGAGGGACACACCATCCTTCTCCTCTCTGAGAGGACCCACTCTCTCCCTTGAGAGTGTTCCTTTTTCCCCTTTCCTGGCCCTTTTAAAAAGCTCATTCCTGTTACTCTGAAAAAAAAAATAAATATAGAATTGTATTGTTGAATTTATATAAAAACATGATATATGTTAGTAAAATGGCTCAAAGGAGGAGGGAGGGAACAAAGCTATATTTGAATAAGAAAATGACATTAGAAGGTAACTCAGATCCAAAGGCAGAAATGAATAGTATTGACCAGGAATGGTGGCACATGCCTGTAATCCCAAGGACGCTGGAGGTTGAAGCAGGAGTTTTAGAAGTTCAAGGCCAGCCTGGGCAACTTAGCAGAGGGTGCTGGGGATGTAGCTCAGTGGTAAAACACCCCAGGATTCAATCCCCAGTACTGAAAAGAAAAAGTACTGGAAATGGTAAACATGTAGCTTAATATAAAATACTATATAAATACAGTTTTTTCTTCTTATAGATTCTCTAAAAAAACATAAGATTGTGAAAAGCAATAATTGTGACACTTTATTGGGTGTTAAAAAGAGATGATAAATATCA